CGCAGGCTCTGTGCCGGCGGGGCGCATAGCCTTTCCTAACAAGAGCTAAAAGACTTGAAGAAGAGCAACGTCCTCCACATAGATGTGCGGGAGAGGTGGGAGATCGACAGAGACGGAAAAATCCCAGCGTCCATCAACATACCTTGTAAGTTGTTGGCAGAGGTACCCGGAGAGGTGGGGTGTTGCTGCTTGGCTCCGTGGTCAGGGTGCGGACGGGTGGCAGAGCTGGGCAAAGGGGAGCCGTGCTACACAGCTGCTAGTGTGTTGTGAGGCTGAACTTTTCCTCCAGGGGGTGTTGCTGCTTGGCTCCGTGGTCAGGGTGCGGACGGGTGGCAGTGCTACACAGCTGCTGGTGTGTTGTGAGGCTGAACTTTTCCTCCAGAGGAATTAGAAGCCTTACCATGTAAGCCTGTCTGTGGATGGAGAATAAATGAGACTCTTTTTTTCCCTTGTATTTCGCAGTGGGTGAATTAGTGGAAGCTCTACAAATGGACCCAACGAAGTTCAAGGAGCAGTACAATGAAAAGATGCCATCCAAGTCAGACCCTGTGGTTTTCTCCTGTTTGTCAGGAAAAAGAAGTAAACAAGCACTCGGTTTTGCCACATCCTTGGGTTTCAGCAGGTATGACTTCTGGGAGTAAGGATGGGATTAATGTGGCCTCCCCTCATGAAGCAGAACTCGTACGTAGCTTCTTGTGGGCAAGGGTAGACATTTAAACGTGGAATATGAACAAAATGACTGGTATTTGAGATAGACACTTCCTCTTCTCTTCACTGAACCTTGAAAGATGCCATTGGGTGTTCCAGCAAAGTAAGGCGTATGAAACCCCTCAGCAGCTCTGCGCATGTGCCACAGGTGATGCAATCTGCTGCAAGAGTGTGCTGCCACTGAAGGGTCCTTCTGCCTCTTGGGGTCCCTCACCAAGACCTTGCTTCCTTATACAGCTTCATAAGCACTAGTCTTGAGCCACAGCATGACTGGAAAGGTGGAGAACTAATTCCTTTGGTAGAAGTACAATCTTAAATTAGATTTAGAAGTTTATGAAACCACACCCTTTGTTAAATTGCAGTTCTAGCTGTACAGTTCACTGTTGACATACGCCTTGACTTTCAGTAAAGCATTGGATTCTTTGCCAGGCGTAAAGCAGTGAAGGCAATCGCCAGAAACCCAGTGAGATTGATAAGAGTGAAAGCAGTAACAGCGTTTGGTTGGCAGAATTGTTACTTCTGTGCCAGAAGGTGCCTTGCTGGCTTGAAGACTGCAGATAGAATTTTAAAAATTGTTAAAGTTTGTTTCCTCATGTTTTCACTGAACTGCAGTTCATGAACTGGAATACCCCTGCTAATTCTAGTCAAAAGTATGGAACCACATTCTTGTTTTATACATATATTGTTTTAATAAGTGCAAAATATCCTCCATTACCTGCTTTTCATGCTGCCTGATTGCAGGAGTCAGTATTGTTTTGCATGATGGGTTTTTGTTTTCCAGAGTTTGTTTTGTGCAGGCTTATGTCAGATCTATTGAGCAGGTAGGTTTGCAAGGAAGATCAGTGTGCTGCATTTATTTGATGACATCTTAAGTGTTAGACATAATAACATGTCCCACCACAGTGAGTCTGTTCTCTCTTTTTTTAAAAAAAAGTGGCAAACTGTTTCATTGATCCAGCTGCTACTACTTGCTTGAGGTTTGATCTCCAGCATTTGGAAGAAAAGAGTTACAGAGTACACAGAATTTCTCTATGGTTTTTTTTCCTTAATGTTTTTTTTTGGTCATGTCCTCTTAGATACTTTTTTCAAAAATAGTCCTCCCTAACATTGTATCTTCTGGATATTTTCAGAGTTCAGCAATATGCTGGTGGCTTTGAGGATTGGGTAAAACATGAACCTCCAGAGAAAAAATGAAGATGACTACTCCAACCCTTGCCCCATCAAGGCTTCAGGATGTTTTGTAGGTTTTAACATTCAAACTACACACATTCCTTTTCCAGAACACAGCCCACTCCTGTTTCCTTGTGTAAATGGACATTCACCTTAAAATAGCCATGCATATCAACCGCTAGGTTTAAATTATATCTAAAGACTATGACATGAATAGGACATTAAATTTGTTCAGCCTTTACTTTGGACTACATTTTTTGGTGAAAGTATGTGAAGAAAACTGAAGTGCTTATTATGATTGCTAAGATTTTTTGTACGACATAGTTTATGACTGTTTAAACTAATGATGATAGGACAAATAAAATTTATCCTTTCCCAAATAACTGTGTTGGGTAGTTTGTTTAGAATAGCTGGGGTAACTGCCCTAAACACAGATTTATTATACTTCATGTGTAGCTGGAGTTTTAAAATAGTTGCTGTGTTATCAAAGAGTACAAGCAAAATACAAATTTTTAGGTATGTACTATGTTATTGTAAGGCCAAAACTTCACTACTGGTCAGAAAATACAAAGGAAAATTGACCAGATGCTAGCATACTCGCTGTTCAAAATGTTCTGTGATTCCTCATTTTAAAATAAGGAATTTTTATACGCAGATCTGCTTCTTAGCACAAAATACTATAGCATTTGGTCAACTTCTGTTCCCTCAGCAGCTTGGTATCAAGTGAGAACCTGCCTATATATCAAGTTATTCTTAGAGATGTAATCATTTTAGGCTGCAAAATTTGAGGTGTCCACGGAAGTTACTAAACTCCCTTCCTTCTTTTGTGTATGTTAATTTGCATGTCTTAAACTTCAAAAAACAAACCGACCCAACCCCTTTGCCACCTATAAATTTGCATAGTCATGATTTTAAGGATTTTGTTTGGTTTTTAATGCTGTTAGTAGTTCAGGGTAACTAGCAAAGGTGAATTGCTTTGGCCTCTAGAAAGTTTAAGTCCTAGCACAGAAATTTGGGACTCTGCAGGACATCTGGAAAAAAAGACAAAATTTCTGGTTCTGCTCTAATCAACATTTCAGGCAACGTGCACTTACCCCACAGCTCTTCCATTCTGACTGTGCAGTCTGCATGGTGAGAAGAGGACCTAAAAAATAGACCCACTCAAGTTTACAGAACAAAGAAAAAGCAACTAATCTTACTAGAATTTTATTTCTAGTAAGTGCCGCAGTCTCTCTGCAGTCCTTTGTTTCTAGAGGAGAACTCCTGCAGTTAGCACAGCCAGCTGTATTAGCTATGCTGCCCTGATGGTGTATCTTACAGGGGTTTCTGCTCCCTCATCTTTGCTAATAATTGGAGACCCTGTAGTGGAGCTGTTGTGATATTGAGTAATAAGTGCATTTTTCTTCAAAGTATCATTGACTTTTTAGTGGTCTTATTGCTATACTTTGTTTCCAATCCATAAAAAAAATGCAAACCACTTAAGAACCAGAATTTAGACTAGTTTCCAAAATACTGGTTTAGTTTAACTGATTAATTAAAGGGAGTAAAATGAAATTAAAATGCTAGGATGAGGATGGGTGTTAACTTGTAGTCAATTACTCTGCAGTTCTCACTATCTTGCTCCTGAAAGTTCCTTTTCAGACTGGATCAGGAGGAGTAACAGATGCCAACAGTTTTTTTGGATTTAGCCAAAACCTATGATTATTAATTTTGCCTGTTTAACAGGACGTAGACCGTCAGTTTCACAATGCTGTGGGCACACAGTGACAGGGGCAACTGAAGCACACTGCTGGCTGCATTGTGCCAGGCCTCACCAGGAGTAATGATGCCTTTTGATCTAGATCAATAAGGTCAGATTATATAGAAAATTTGAGACACACAGAAAATATTTAGCTAAATGTGTAATTAATCATGCCTAGCTGTATTGACTGAGCCACCAAACTTCAGTATTCAGATGAACAAAGCGAGGAGATCTAATCAACTAAACTTGGTCACGATTTAGTCATAAGTGGCCAGTGCTTCCTTTTGTAGCTACATCAAAGTTTGTTGGGAACATCTAAAACTACATTGCCACAACAAATGAACAATAAACAGTTAGACTGGGTCATGCCAAGATCTGTCTAGCCCATTATTTTCTGTTTGTCAGCAGCTGGTAATAAACATCTGAAGAAGAGCATAGAACGGAACAAGTATGTAGTAATACAATCCTCAGATTATTCTCATTTGCAACTCAGCATCTTTGATACTTCCTTCAGGCTTTGCATGTCTTGGAATATTTGAGCATTTGTAAATTTTCAGTGCAAACTCCCAGCAGCCACAGCAGGCTGCATTGGGTTTAAGTCTTTGCCTTTGTTGCTTCTCAACTTGCCACCTATTGTTTTCATCAGATGCTCCTGCTGCTTCTGTCAGAAGTGATGAACAGTTGTCACCTCATCAATCTTCCCACCGTTCATGATTTTTCTAGACCTCTGCTATCTTTCCTGAGCTGAATGGGTGTGGATTTTTTTTTTTTTTTAATAGGAAAGCCACTGTATACCTCTTCTTTATTTTCATTAGTTTTTATTAGTCTTGTCAGATTTAGGTTTTAGTAGTCTTGGTAGTTTTTTGCAAGGTGATCATTCCTGTGTCTGTCTTTGTATCTTTCTTATGTAGATATAACTTGCTTTTCAGATCATGCTTTTTGAGTTAAATAACTTGTCTGATCCAGTTCAGTTTGCTTCCTTTCAGATTTTTCCTTAAATCTTTTTGGCATAGATGGCCTGTGTTTGCTTTGACACTCTGCTGTCACCTGTAACCATATTATCTGTGAAGACTTTCAGCTACCTCTCCTTTAATGAGATTCCTCATTTTAAGGCATTTCTCTCCTTTGAAATGAAGCACAGTAAAGGTGATTTTTTTCCACCTGGTTGGTAGCACAGCTGTTGAATTCACATTACGTTCCATTTCCTGATGTTCCAGTTTACATCTTTCTTTTTATAACTGTCATCACTGAAACCCATTCCTTTGTGCTTTATTGCCTCTTGCTATTTACACTAGAATGAGAGCTGGTAAAACTATCTTCACCTCCCCAGTAGAGAAATAACTTGGGATACTTCTATTTACCATCAGGAAGTGCCCAATACTTTAGCTCTGAGGTTCAGGTCATATAGGTGTGAAATAAAGTCTGCAAAACTCTTGAGCGCAAGAATAATCACTCCAGCCAGAATTCTTCATTAATAGTGTGAAATCCCTAATTTCAAAACATTTGCTTTCTTAGCAGATTACAGATTATGTGGTATATGTGAGGAGACTGATGTTTACCTAAAGAACAGTTCCTGTTTAAGAACTCCACACCGTGGTCAAGTTACATTGATTTATTTCTGCTCCCCAAGTCCACGTTACAAATAGCACATTTTAGACGTCAAAAAACAAAGGCAAATAGCCAAATTCCACTTCATCAATCAAGTGTCTATAAAAGGCATGGATCAATGGCAACAAAAGTAGCAAAGACCAACCTGTATGTATTTTCTATCTCACCAAAGTGGTTTGGGCTTGTTTACTTTATGTTTTACAAAAATAACCTGAACAGAAATAAATGCTAGTAGCTTAATGAGCTACATACAAACACCCTTCAGTTATATTTCACTGAATGACCAGTCGATTACAAAGACAGGTATCTGCAAAAACAGGGTTTAAGGGGCCAGTTTTCTGAACCAAGACACATCATAGAGCAAGGGTTTTCAAGAATTTCCCTTCAATATTTCAGATCAGTGAAATGTGTTGCTTCAGGAAAAAAAATGGAGAACCATGTTTCTGCACTTTATTTTATCATTCAATTTTTATACTTGGGCAAGTTGGCATTATAATTCAAAATGAAGTTGTACAGAACTTAATTAGAAACAATGTCATCTAAAAATCAATAAATTCTTTTTAGGCCAATTCCTGACCTCAGTGGGATATCTGCCTGAGTAAGGAACACAGGATACGGCCTTCTGTTTGAAGGAATCTCATTTTCTCCAGCACATAGTTAACCAAGGAATCCCATTTCAGTTATTCTAAAGAGTTGCTTCTAACATCACAATTAAAATTAGCCATTATGATGCTCACCGAAAGCTTAATCCTCTTAAATAAACTCTCCACACAAATTCACACTAACAGTGAAGGCAGACTAACAGTGTATATATTTTGTACAAAAAAAATCCACCATAAAAAATAGCAATTATATCCAGATTTGTACTTGATTGTGAAATAGTCCAATTGTACAGTACATTTACTTGCAAAAAAATAATCATCGTTATGTTGGGTTTTTTTAATTCCTAATACTTGAAATGTTTACGAAAACTGCAGAATCACTATACATATTGCACTTCTCTGGTAAGCTGGGCTACTACACCTCATGGCAAAAACATCCAAGTACATCTACTGAGTAAAACAGCATTTTTCTAATCCAGAAAAGGAACTGAATTTCTTTCCTGCAGCTTTCATTAAAACTGTGACAATATTCTTTGCAGGCTCTTCTAGGCTTTGTTTCTGAAGGATTCCTGTGTTGCTTTGTTAGAGAACCCACATCTATTTTTAAAAAAATCAACAAAACTCAAGATAATTAATAGACTTAAGATACAGTGCACTACCCTCCTTCAGTCACGAACAAAATGAAGACAACACAAGTCATTAATACAGTTACAGTTAGGCTTCAGGTTACCCTCGCTTTAAAAAATAGTTCACTTTCGATGGCAAGTTACAATTTTCTCAAAGCAAACAAAACCAATAATTAACCTTTTTTTTTTCAAGTGGATAGTGTTAATCTTTGCAGCTTGGTTTAAAGTTTGATTCCTTAGACTGAAAAATCTTAGTACATTTGCTCCAGCGTCAGAGAAAATGATACAGTTTTAGAGAAAAAGCTTTCAAAATGCTTGACACAAACAAGCTATTTCTTCTTCAAGTTCTTTGTCAAAGATGTTACTAAAACCTTCTGTCCATTTTATGAACACAGGAAAGATCCCAGGATGCCTTGAGTCAAAGTGGTCCATAAAGAAATTCTTTGG